AGGTGAAGTGAACATGGAAGGATACATTCATATTTGGGGGCTGGAAAATTACTGAATAGCAGAATATTTAAAAAACTTTGACATGTATGTCAGTTTCTGTGGGACCACACACAGCCTTCTGCTCCCCTCTCCATTCTTCCTACGCCTGCTTTCTAATACACAGAAAGGGCAGCCATGATTGTTGTTCCTGTTACAAAAGGAAAACATCACTGTAAAAGGTTAAAACCCATGAGGTGAAAACTGGAGATGAACTCAGGATTATGAAAAGGTAAAAGCAAACAGACATTAAAACTTAGGAATCAAAAGAACTAGATGAAAATAAAAGCCGAGGCTTGAAGATTTAGTCATTCAACAAATTTCCAGAGCACCGTCTGTGTACCACGAACTGTGCTGAACAAAGATAATAAAAAGTGGCCCTGATTTCATGGCATTCAAGTTAGTAGGTCAGGAAAAACAGTCACAGGCTGAGAATCACACACTGTGGAATAGAAGGGCTGAGTGGGTCCAAGGGGCCTGGGGTGGGGGGTCCCCGAGGCAGCAAAAGAGTTCAACGGAGACAGTTCTTGGCACAGGTGGAATTTAAGCGCCAGCCCTGAGGCAAAATGAAGCTGTTGTATTTCAGAGCACTGATCCTCAACCTGGCTGCACCCTCAAATCTCTGGGGCCCCATCCCAAGTCCATCAGAAGCCCTAGCATTGGAACCCGATATCAGCACTTTTTTTTTTTTTTCTTCCTTACGCCAGTGTTTTTAAATTCCCCTCTCCTCTCCCCAGAGGATTCCATGGTGCAGCCTGGGCTGAGAACCACAGCCCTACTGTGGGGAACTGAAGGAAAGTTACTGAAGATAGCTGGGCCAAGGACGAGAGACAAAGCCAGAGAGGGAAGCAGAGGGCAGGTCACGCGTGGGGAGGACAGCAGTAGTGAAGAACTGCTCAGGGCTGGGGGCACAAAGCCACAGGCCCTGCCAGAGGCCAAGGTAGGGCCACTATGGGATTCCTGAGGCAGTACCAGCATTTGCACTGGAATGAGTGGTAGGGACCAAAGTAACTACACTGCTCTATATAATAAAGAGGTTGGGCTTGACCAATAGACTCTCTAAGAGACTAACAGTAGGGCCCTGGAATTTGGACAAGAGAAGGGAAGGGCAAAGAATCTACTAGAAAAGGGTTAGACGGCTCTGGAAACATGGCAGCAGCAAGTCAGTGAGGAATTCTGTGGTGGGCTTGGTCCAGAATGCTAAGAAATTAAACCTTTAAATTTCCTGTACTGTGTAAGAATCCCCCGCCATTATTCCCCACACTTCCGTACAAGTCTGTCAGCACCATAGTCCTCTACTATTGCGGCTTTGGTGATGGAGGAGAAAGGCCTGCTGTACACAGTGAGAGAATGCTGTGGAAAGAACAGCCCAGTTAGTGAGTGAGGGTCCAGGCAGACCAGCAGAAGCAAGATGAGGAAGCAGAAGTGATCAGAGGAATGCAGGCCGCCCCAAACCCACAAACCTTCCGGAAAGTTGAGGAGATTCTGGAACTTCCACAGTATATCTCCCATCTTTACTCAAAACAGAGACATACTTTGCAAATGTTTTTCCTCTACAGTTTCTGTTAACAGACAATTTAAGTTCAACTTATAGGATTTTATTTATTTATAAAGAAACTAAACCAGACATTTTTTTCTTTATTGCAAGCAGATTAGGTCTCCTGCTTAATCTACAGAAAAGTCCAATATAATTAATATTATCAAATCATATTTTATCTACAGAAATAAAAGTTAAAAATAGCATACAAAATAAACTTTACAGAAATGTAAGAACTGGATTAATTCACAATTTAATTTTCCAAAGCAGGTTAATGTATTATCAATTAAACATTACTGATTGGAGGCTGATTTATTATGTTAAATGCACCCACTATATTTAATAATTTAAAAATAAATTCCAGTATTTATGATGATAACTATAGATACCATTCATGTTAAATACATTTTTGAAGACTTTCTTTTATTACTTAATGAACAGACATTTTAAATGGCAATGCATACACACATTATAATTTTAAGTCAGAGACAATATACACATATTAAAATTCTGTATATTTCAATAAGGTAAAAAATAAAGCTATATAAACTGATCTTTAGATTTTTTTCTGCAAAAGTAGAATCACACTTTCATAATACTTCCAACACATTTTCATTAAAGCTTTGTTTATAGACACAATGTCAGAATAATTCTCATTCCCGTTCACCTACCCGCTAACATAAAAACAGAATGCATCTGTCAACTGACATTCTTCCTGTTTTAAAGTTACAAATGGGTAACTTCCAAAAGAAATGTAGAATGCAAGAACTACATACCAGGATGTTATATTAAGTTGTCAAATAAATAATATTAAGATAAAATAGAAGTGGTTGCATTAGTTCATTACTAGTCAGTGCAAAACATATGAACTTCAGTGGTTTTAAAAAAAAAAGACTTAAAACACTTCCTTCAGATTACACTGAACGTTTGGTTGATGCCTAACAATTTAAAAATAGTTACAACAGCATGTATGAGACTTGTTTTTGTAGTTAAAGCTGCAAGAAGGTCAACAAGTCAAACTAAGAAGTTATACAAGACTTGTTATCACATAAACTGTTTGCTCTCCATCTAAATCCCCCAGGCAGACACCCTTCACAGCAACTGTCTTAGGAGAGCTACAAACCTCACGGGTATTTTTATTTGGTCTGCTTTGTTCACTCCATTATTCAAATACTCAGGAATGGGCTGATTTGGATTTTAACATTAGTTGCCAAGAAAAGGAACCCTTGTTTTTCCCTAGCTGACTGCAGCTTGCACGGGGCTGGCCCTTTGGCTGCGGGGATGGCATAGCTCCTGGAGGCGTGCAGATACAATGTGGAGCTGGCGTTGGTGGGCTCCAGATTCTGCTTTCGGGCAACCGCATCTTGAGTGCTGAATTGCAGTGGAGGTTTACATAGGGGGAGCTGAGCGTCCTTGAAAGGGAAAGAACTTAGTCCCGGGCACTGCTATCTCCTTCAGTGAGTGGTTAGTACAAATGAAGCTATGGCTTCAAACCCCGTGGTGTGCTGTTCAAAGGCTTACTGATGCCGTTGCCAAGAAAGGCCTCATCTTACCAGTGAGGCAGAGGAGGTCTAAGGAAGCCTTACCTTCCCAGACATGGGCGAAGTGACCCTTACAGGGTCACCTTAGGAAGAAGGCAGGGAGGTTCAGGATTTAAGGAAAGTATACATGTGTGTGTATTTGTGTGCATACGGCTATGAGTGAAGTAGGAGCTGAAGGCGAGAGAATATAAATGTAATCAGGGCCACTCATGCCTTTATAAAATGATCTGCTTTCAAGGGAAGGGACTGGGCACTAAGAACCATGTATTGGGACCAACACGGCCAATTACAATGATGATTCATTAAAGCAACGTGCACAGCAGTGAATGAGATTTTCTAAAATAAGAAAAATGCCTAAAGTTGACATTACTTGCTTTAAAGTTAAAGGCAAGTAAATACTAACCCTGTAAGGTGAAAAATTGTATTAAATCATATCTGAAATGTCATTCAATGGTCTTTTCTTTCTGTTTTTTAATCTTGTGCCCCTTACATATTTAAGATTATTAAGCATGTCCATTTAATAATTTCCCAAATAATTGTTTAAAAGACATTTTGGAGACTGTAAAAGTTTAGTGACTTTCATGAGACATGTGGTCAGTGTCTAGATTAACAGACAGAACTGGGATCCATCGTATTTAACAATTAAGCAAGAATCTTCTATTTTTAAGGCTGAAGAATGGAAATTAAAAACAAAAATGAAAAAGCAGATGAAACTGCAATAAATCACAAAGAAAAAGCTTAGCAAATTACTGTACTTTAAATATCAACAATTACCGCCATCAGAAATACCAACAAATTAAGAGGTATAGAGAATAAAATCAATCTGAAAATTCCACATTCCTCAGATATAGAAACATTCAGCCCAAACTCTCACCAGAATTTAAACGTTAAAGTGGCCAAAATTTCATAAACTTAAAAAATAAAAGCTTTTAAAACATACTTTAAAAATTAGATATGGTATGCTAACAAATAAATGCATAAAAGAGATATAAACAGCTATGAAAATACTTCAGTGCAAAGGCAATTTTAAGATTTCTAAAAAAATACATTACAAATAATTTGTTAACTAAACATACAGAGAATCTGTTGCCCCTAAGGGTATTACATGTATACCCATATGTTAGGTTCTTAAAAATCACTGTAAAAATACACACACCACTGTTTTGCAGGGTCTAGTTGGAAGTGTGACGGCCAGGCCCACAGTCACCATAAGCGTAACACTGTGACAGTCATCTGACGGGATGGCAGGAGCGGAACAGAAGGGCTTTTATGAAATGGTAAAGACAATCTTCAGGACAAAAATGGTGCTTCCTTGTTCTCTGTTATTCTAAGTCAAACCTTCATTATCCTAATCTTTGGTATGGTGTTTATATTTCACTTACTCCAGCTACTTCACTGCTTTTTACTGTTAATTCTCCATTTGGAAAATAATATTTATCCCTTAGTTCAAATACACAATCTATAGGTGAAACATACAATCAAATCGTGAAATTTGAACTTCTGAAAGTATATAAAATCAAACATCACAGAAACAGTCTCGGTATTCACTTCTAAGACTACATTTTCACAATATGAATTCTAGCAGTTGGAAGGTGTTTCCTTTCAGTTTTAGGGTGATGTGTTTTAAAAAAGACATCGGTTTTAATGTCAGAAGTTTGAATCTCCAACCAAAACGCCTTCTTTCAGGACCATTACGGTTATGTCAAATAGAACATTTTGAGAAACAGAAACCCAAAGGAGAAAACAAAAACAAAAACCAAACCAAACCCACTGCCACTGAGTTGATTCCAACTCATAGCGACCCTACAGGACAGAGCAGAACTGCCCCACAGGGTTTCCAAGGCTGTGATCTTTATGGAAGCAGACGGCCACATCCTTCTCCTGGAGAGCAGCTGGTGAGTTTGGCCAGCAGCTGAGTGCTTACCCACTGTGGCACCAGGGCTCCTGACAGTTACCCTTGAGTACCTGAAACCAATATTCTTTCCCTAAAATACATGAAAGAAAGAATTTCCAAAGACAGTAAATAAGTAAACTGTATCATTTGGGGTGTGACTGATAAATATCTCAAAACTTCTATTGGAAAAGTTTACGTTAACAGTATTATCTGTTCCTCACACATGAATATGAGTTATTTTATTTTTTTTCCTCCACAGAGGCAACTGGGTGATGGAAAAAGAGAAGAAAGACATTGACAAACTCAACAGTATTCCAAAACACAGAGGGTTAGCATCTCGCATCAGCAAAACAAGCTGAGATTTGGATCTAACCCATTAAAAAACCATCCTCACCACGTATAGGGTGAACATAAGCAACAGCAAGATCTGTGACCCTAACAGGAAAACAGATACACAATTATCTGAACGTCTAACTTGGCCACTTCCAAAAACAGAAGTATCAGGGGGTTTCTTGAGAAAAGGAAGTACACAGACAACACACTTTGTTCTACAGAGACAGGACACGAGCAGGCGAGGATGAGTGAAATGAAAGGAACACACCGTCATACACACTCAAAACGACGGTCGCTGGGGGTGTGTGGTGAGAGCTTCTGGCTCAGAGTTGAACTGCTGATCTCCAAACGTACATCATTTGATGCGCTGTTCTCTTCAAGTAACACCAAGTAACAGAGGGTGACGCAGAGAATAAACACACAGGGTAAAGAGAACGTCTTCTGCTGCCAGTCTTACAGCGCCAGACCTCCCTTCTTCCTAGCGGTCCAACCAAACGCATGAAGAAAAACACGAGAAGCCACCAGGCCTGGAAGAAACCGTAACTAAAGCGCTCAGTCTAGGGTATCAGAACAAGCTGTGTTTCACGTTTCCCTCCTCGTTTGGAAACAGAGGAAAAAGCACACCCAAACACAGACACACAGACACTCAAGAAGGCAGTTCTGAAAGGCGTGAATTGGTGATCTGTCCATCAGACAGGTGTTTCCAGACTGGACCCATGGTAGTAGTGTCTTGAGCTAGAACTACAATAGTTCTTTGAAAGACCAAAAATGGGTGGAAGTACTAAATACTCCTTGTTATTCCAGAAGGTTAACATCACTTTTTCAGAGTGAGAACTAGGCTCTATGGCCGAGGGACTGGTGAGGTCATTGTTCTGGTAGCTTGGGCTTCGTAGAGAGGCAAGAGAGGTGAATTCTGAAATGCGGTCCTGAAGCTGTCTGGATGTATTCTGTCAAGAGAACAGCAAAAAAATACCAAGTCAGTCCCCAGAATGATCGCTGCTAACCTCCATAGGAATCCTGTCTAAAACTGACTTGAGCCATTTCAAAGTGAAGGTATATACGATTACTTCTGTAGGAACTGCTAGACTCAACTATCAGGTCATCAATTTTCATTAAACCAGACAGGTCATATGGTATTCATTATGCTCCAAATATTATGCAAAGGCAATGTGCCTACTGATACCCTAGGTACAAATTATCTTCCACTTTTTGGCACTGAGAGTAACCATTCCATCATTCCAGGGAACTATGGTTTGTAAACACACAGAGCTCCCTTCCTTCATCACCATCATCACTCTGGGAAGCTCCAAAGGCCCAAAGCCCAAGTGCAGTCTCATTCCTTTACCTAAACACCTGTGAAACCACCACCACCCACGACAGGAAGACAAGGACTCAGCTGGCGTCAGTGTATCTTCCCCCACACAGAGCTCAGGGGCAGACAGCGCACCGACGGAGCCCATCTCGAGTCTCTTCAGCTACTGCTGTTTCTGTATCTGCCACAGATACATTTTGGTTTGTGTGGTTTACTATTAACAGCCTAACATGTCGTCAACATGATTAAATTTAACAAGGCCGTAAAAGAATAATGGGAAGCTGTACAATCCCAATCCATTTTTAATGAAATAATAATTCCCAAGTATGAATATTTCTAGATAGAGAAGTTAGATGAACGTGCTTGTTAAACTCTGAGAGGCCTACATCCGAAAATGCTTGGTGAACACAGTTACATTTACAATCTCCGTATTTTTCAGACACAAGATGTAAGTTACATAAGTTTCAGCTGATGTACAACAATGGACTCATACCAAACATTTAACTGGGTTATTGTTCAATGGAAATCAGGCAAATTCCATTTTTGATTTTGAAATAATATCTTTCCTGATAGACCTTTTGAATGAAACTGTTTCCACCACAAAGGATTAGAGAGGAGCTTATATTCTGGCAACATTGAACAATAATAATAATGGGGCCAATTGAGCTAATGTTGCATGTTGACCAACATTAGCCACAGCGTATGTATGTGATGGGTATGTGCGCATACATACGCACGTGTGCGTGTATATACAATACCCCACCATATGCAGTGAAGTCACTCTCAGGCATGTCACTTACCTGGGAGAGTAAACACATACGTGTGTGTAAAAAATGTTCATTCTTTTCTTTTTTTTGCATCATTAACCTCTTATCAAAAATGGCACAGCACAGCAAAAACTTTGGAGGAAAAACAGACAGCTTCAAAGAATCACAGCACACCAAGAAAGTGACTCCCAGCTTGTCCACATGTGTGCAATACGGTTACCTATCATTGAGCTAATTATGCTTCAGAAGCGGTAAGAGGTCCTTCAAGGAGTGGCCCATCGGTGCGTGGCACTGCAGTGACAGGTGCTTTAGGTCTCATACTTCTCTGCAAGGATGAGGGAAGACGCTGAGATGGTTGAGGCATACATGAGGGAAGCGCGAAAGAACGTTTCAAGGTGGAGAGCAAAGATTCAGACAGTGCAGGCTTTTCTCTCTATCACAGTGGTTCACGAGCTGTCCCGGGCCAGCGTCCGCTATGCTCAGTAAGGATGGCAGTGGGCCATCCTTCTGCCTCTAGACCACTTTAGAATCTGTTTCTGGATTAATACAAACCTGTGGCTGCTCATTAGGCCGCATGGATGTGAAAGCGGTACTCTCTTTGTTTTACGTAAGCCTTTCAAGTAGAAGTCCGTAACATTTGCTGCTGAATAGGTGACTAAAATAGGTATCAGGATATCGGTGCAGGCACAACGATTTTTTCTGCAAGCTGTGTTTTTGCAAGGGAGCACGAGTACTCTACTAGCAAAAAATGAATGTCTTTCTAGTCCCATGGAAAAAACCATACTCAAGAACTGAGAAATAGCGGAAGGGCTTAAAGAACAGGTCACAGCAGCAAATGTATCTCAAATGCGAGAGGCAGAGACTCTGACAAGCCACGAGTCTGCCCAGTGGACGTCCTCCAAGCAGCCAAGTATGATTGATGGCCTGTGACCAGGCTCCTGCCCTCAATGAAGGAGAAGCTGAGGCTCTGTCAGGAACACAGGAGGCACTTCCAGAATTCCGAAGCTAAAAACTTGGCTACACTTGCCCAAAAGCATCTCCTGTACCCACTTCCTAGGCAATGCTACGCGCCTCCACAAAGAGCAGCCAGGCGTTTTCTGAGAAGGAGGAACCGTGCACCCGCCCCTGTCCCGAATCAAGCAGAAGAATCCCGGCAGGAGACACAGAATCCTCAGGAGTTAAAGCGATGGTGCTCCACATGCTGGCAGATCCAAGTGACGGGCATCTGAACAGTTAAAAGATTTTCTAGCCAAACTGTATTAGTTTCTCAGCAAGAAGGAACAGAGGAATTTTAAGAGCTAAAGAACTGCAACCTCGGTAGCAGGCTTGAATTGGCCTAATCTTTCTCGGTGAGAAGAACGAACTGAACAAATACTGGAGTATTTATCCGCTTGTCGGGGGAGGGAGAGGGACACACACACATACACAAGTATGTGTGTGTACGGATACGTATACACACACACACATACACACATATATTGAGTTTAAAATAAACATGGTGCCTGTGGTGTTTTTCTTTTTCATAGGAAAAAAAGGAAGAAAAATAATCCAGTTGAAGTATAACATAGTCCACACAGGGACTGGTCAAATGTTTATTCCTCCAAAGTTCTGCTGCACTCGGGGTGGTTTTGGAGCAATCTAGAGCATGAACGTGCATGAGCTTGCTGGCCTCCTGGTCTCTTCATCTAGATGTGGGTGACAGTTACACCTGCAGACACTCACAGCCAGAGGCCTAAAGGCCTCAAACCCCACGTGGCAGGGAAATCACAAGGCCTCAGTCCCGGCCTTCTCTAAGCAGCTGGGGTCTAGTTCTGCAAACGTTCAGAAGCAGACAGACTCCTGATAAACTATATCAGTAGTCAGAACATTTATTTTTAGCCCAGTTGGCATGATTAAATCAATTTCATAAGGATCTCCTGTCACTTATTAAAATGTTCCTAATAATTTCACCTTAAATGTTTTCAAGTGTATACACAGTGCGGTGAAATTATGTAATTTATTCTAACAAATTCTGATGGCATCAGAGTAGAACATGTTTGATTACCACTAATTTACGTGAATTTTAAAAATGTACTATCTTGTTAGTTTAAAAAAGTGTTTAAAATGTATAGGAGATAAACTGTTATTAAAAGAAAAAAGCGAGCATTTCTGCTTTAGGCATATTTCAATTTAATAGGCTGCTTTGGTAAAACAGTAAAACCAAATAGGCATTTCAAAGTATCATTCATTTTGAGGCATACAGGAATGTGCTATTTAGGTACATGAACAACAGCTAGAAAACAGAAAACATTTCTAGACAGGGATCTGCCTCTAGACGGTGATCTGCCTCTAGACGGGGATCTGCGCCTAGACGGTGATCTGCCTCTAGACGGTGATCTGCCTCTAGACGGGGATCTGCCTCTAGACGGTGATCTGCGCCTAGACGGGGATCTGCCTCTAGACGGGGATCTGCCTCTAGA